CCTATTGCATAAATAGCGCTCTCTACTGTGTGGATTGTGCATCATACATACCCTGAGATTTATCCCTATCTACTTCTGAATTTGTAGTGTTTTCCTTTATGTTTTAGTTGTCATACTCTTAATTTCCTTTTATTCACAACTGTGCCAGCTACCTGCATCAGGTCGGGAAGACACCTAATCTCATTGAGAACACTGGGCTTAGCTCCAAATTTCTCATGCCTTCATCTCGTGCAGTGTTGCTGCAGATGCAAATTAAATTTAAAATTTAGTGGTTTGTCATTAACACTGCTTTCTCTCTGGAGTTAAAGAGGAAGCAAAAACTGATTTCCATTTGTCTAGTTAACAACTTTCTCTACTTAATTCCCTACTTAAGTCAAGCAATCAAACCCCTATCAGGTTACAGTATTTAAATTTTTGTATGACTGGTGGTCAATTGGATTTTGGATAATTATTTTTGCATCCATAAGTCATATATATTCTGCTCTAGACTAGTTCCTTTAACTTATTTCTTATTCTTTAGTCTAGTGGACCATGTTTTTGTCACAAAGAGCGCAACAATCCAAAGCAATTTAAAGCATGTACTGTTGGGTGATTTTCTATTTATGTTTGAGGGACACTCAATCTGTACTTTGCAAAAGTTTTGGCCAAGATGATGGCAGACTAATGGGAGGTGGAGATCTTAAATGACCATCAGGCAAGCATCAGTCAGTGACTGGGTTATTTAGCCAATTATTGGCCCACCATCAAAGGAAAGGAAATTACTTGTTACCTACCCTTGGGAGGCTCAAAGCTGTGTTCAAACACATATAGTCACAGGTAATTTTTTATCCTTGCTACACAAGTGTGCATTAAATATGTTTTTACCTACTTTTTCTTCTGGATTAGATGCGTCAACTTCTGATAGTGGTCTCGGCAAAGATGCCTGTGATACAGAGGGGAGAGTTACTGCTCCAACGCTGCCTTTTGTGCCCCAGCCACATCTTACTGACAAGTTGCCAGTTCCAGCATCAAATGGTTTACATTGCTCTCCTGGATTCCTAGCAGCTAGCAACCTTTCTCAGTTGGCAGAATTAGCTGCTAATAAATCTGCTATGCATCAGACTCCATCAAACACCACCCAGCTATCTGCACAACCCATTCAACCACACTTCGTTGGAAACCAAACCAGATTTGTCCTTCCTGGTCAGGGAATACCTCCCCCTATCATTGGGACATACCCCTCAGGAACTTTGATGCAGGTGCCAGGACAATATCAGGGATTTCCCCCTGTTCCTCCCCAAGTGCCTCCACCATTTATTAAAGGGTCCAACATTCAGCTTACTACTGGTGATGTAAAGAGAGTTGAAGACCTTTCCACTGAAGATTTCATTCACAGCATCAGACAAAGTCCTGAACTTAAGCTAGAGACAAGCACTGTTGTAAAAATTGAAGATGGAACAGAACTTGGAAGCACTCATATTACTTTCACCATCAACAGCTCTAAAATACAGGTAAGCAGATAAAATTATAATATAATCAAGATAAAAATAATTGTCCAAAACTGCTCTAGAATCTTCAATCTAGTTTTAGATGGGTTTCAGTGTTTATTAAAAAATAGTTTGCATCACAAAAGGTTCAAAATTTTCCACTTGCACCTTTTAAAGATGCATGCAGAGAGTTTTTTCTGAACACCTCCAGCAAAACTAGAATCTTAGTCTGTTCACAGACCTTATATGTTCACCTAGACCATTGTCCATTTTGAAAACTGAAAAATAGCAGAAAGATATTTAGGGAATGTGAATGGGATAACTGTTACAAGAAGAGAGTGTGTACAGATTCCCTCAGTCTGTTGTACATAAACACATGGTGGCTTCAAAACACCACTTTTTACCTATTATCATTTGATTATGGCAGCCACACCAAATGTACTCTTGCTAGACAATTCTGTACAATAATCTGATTCATACTCCTACAGAAAACCTGATCTACATGACTGTAAAACTGATCAGTTACTTGATGGTTTTTTTTAAAGGTGACTCTAAACTGTCCTATAGAGCATCCCTTTTTTGTATATGGTCAAGGGTGGACATCAAGCAGTCCAGAACAGTCCTCAACCAAGTACAACCTTAACTGCCAGCAGTTGAAAGTTGGTGATGTGTGTATTTTTCTCTCTGCATCCAATGCCCCCAGTATCCCCAGTGGGCTGGGATTGACAAGTTCACCAGCTGTGCAAGTGAGTGGAGCTGGTTCTACTCTGACATATTCTGCTTCAGGAGTCTTGTCAAGTGCAGTGAAGTCTCCATCTGTGAGTAGCAATGCAGGACAAACCGTGACTTCAGTGTCAGCATCATATGCCCAGACATTGCCTGGAATTGTTACCTTACCAGGAAATATACCTGGTGTTGTTGTTACTTCTTCAATGCCACCTGGCATTCCTGCAGTGTACCCAGGAAGTTTTCCCCCACCCCAAAATATTGGCCAGGGGAAAGTTGCTGGGCAGAGTGGAACTGACAGGCCATCTGTTCCACAGCCAGTACAGGGGTTCACACCTGATGGAAAACCATCAGATCCTCCACATTCCACTACAGCAGTGCCTGGAGGTTTTCCTTTGTCTGGAGCACCTTTTTATCAGCCACTTACAGGAACATTCATGACAGCCATGCCTCCAGGACAAACATTTGTGCAAGGAACTGTTATGCCGCAGGGTTCTGTGGGAAATGGGCTGCTTGTTGCCGCAGTTGGTTTTGTGCCAGGGAGACCACCGGCACCATTTGTTCAACCTGGAATGCTCTATGGCTCCACACCAATGGAAATGTTACAAAAGGGAGGTGACAGCAAACCAGAAGAATATTCACATAAGGGAAGGACTGACTCACAAACTGAATTGTCACAACCTGAAGCCAAGAGGGCAAAAGGAGAAACAGAAGTAAAATAGACTTTTAATTTGTGAGTGTTTTTATAGATAAGAGAAAATCAAGGGAACTGAAAAAGAGATATTGTTATATAAATGTATATTATATCTATATATATGAGAAAAATGTCTTTTAACTTTTATTTATTTGTAGGTTAGGCAAACATCTGAAGTTGTCATTAGTCATGTACCAATTAAGAGCAAGGATAGTAACATTTGTGTTTGCTCAACAAACAGGTGTCCCAAATCAAATCTCTTAAACATAGCGTTCATTGTTGCTGTAAACACCAATTCCCTGTTAAAGTTTGAAATAGCTTTTTGGCAAAATTGATGCAGTTCAAAAAGACAATAGGATAAACACAATCATAGTTACTTATAAAGCGTCATATTGGAAAAACAAAACACAACATAGTTTAAAACTTTACTCCAATCTTGCTGTGGTCATTTGTATTTAAAAAAAAGAGAGAATTTTTTTAATTGGGTAATGTTATTTTACTGTTATGCTAGATACTATTTTGTAGACAAAAGTTAGACCTCAAGGTGAAGATGTTGGGCTATTCCAAAAGAAGTGTTTGTCAACACTCAATTGTTAAATTTTCATTACAAAGTAGCAGAAACTGTCTCGGACTGGTGCAATATTTATAACTTCTTCAAGCAAGGAACCCTACGAAGCTACTATGGCTGGTTTAGCTAGTAACAATCGGTGATGTGACTATTTGTAATGAACTAGTGACTATTACTAAATAATTTAAGTTTGAAACATTATACTAAAAGGGGATAGTAGCCTGGCTGAACTACCTACATCAAGTTATGGAGACTAAATTATTGAGAACTTGATTGTGCTGGTCAAGGAGATATTGTGTCCCCTCGATCCCATCTGGAAATTCCACTTTTCCATTTTTTTTTACTTTTTTTGTTCAACACCTCTCCCTCCCTCCTCCCTTGAGATATACCAGGTACAATGTTTAGGTTTGATGGAATTATTGGGAATTCTGAGTTATATCTATCCAAAGCACAATTTGAAAGAGTTTCATCTTACCAATATGAAGCAAAGTTAGTTCAATTTTTAATAACACTGATGTATGGTGGGATGCAAGCACTGTGATCTCTAGCAAGGGACCAATTCAAGCTCAAATCAATGTTAATAGATCTATCAAAGCTGTGCTTTTAAAAAGATCATTGGGTGTCTGAAGGCTCATCTGTTTGCAACTTGAGTGTCTTGCTTTCAAATGCTGTCATACAGGCAAAGTTAGGAAGGTCACCCCAGGACTCAAGTTGGTGGCCTGTGGCTCTTTGGCTCCGCTGGAGCACTTCTTTGATAAAAAAAAAAAAAAAATTATGGGAAATGCAAGCTACAAATCATGACTGAGATTGCTTTTTGAATCCAATTGTTTGCGAGTGCAACAAGTTTTCCAGACCAGAGATAGGAACAGCCAAACCAGAGAAACACCAGACAACATGCATTAATCACACATTGAAATTTTCACTGTTAATTTATTTATTTTAAGATAACTGTTTATGAAACGGTTTTAAAACAGTAATTGATTACTAAGTAATTAATTTACCAATGGTAATCGTTTGATAAGATTTTGTAACATTGGGTTTTGTAATTGCATTTGCGAGAATGAAAATATGTTGTGATTAACTTATTTCTTGTAATCATGTTTTTGCAGCAATGTGTGTTGAAATTTTTAAGACCAAAAAATTATGTTAACTTCTGCTCTCAAACAGAATTTATTTCTTTCTTGTGGAAAAACAAGTACAACACAACAGTAGCAGTTGACACAAGCACTATTTTAGGTCTGTTTCCTCAAAGTGAGACCAAGGCACACAAGTATTAGCTTTGTCCTAAACTTATTACACTAAAATGTAGTAAAGCTTCTTTTATGTAACGTTTTTTGAGTGCTAATATTAAATACATACAAGTCATATTTTTTACAATAGTGTTAACATTGTCCAAGACTTGATAGTTTGTAATTTTGATTTAGTGTCAAGGGTCATTATATTTTTCAATGTTATGGCGATGCAGCTTAGTTGGTTGCTCAACATGTATGAAACAAGCCAAATCAAATGCAACTTGCACTATAATTTCCAGATGTATTTTCTCACTGTGTGTTTGAATGTTTATAATAAATCTTTAGGGCACTAGGACTTAGGTACCATGATTGATTTGTGGTGCAAGTAAAAGTTGTGACAAATTGTTGTTCAAATTGACTGCACTTGTGAAATTTATCAGGTCTAGATAACATACCTCTTTGAATTTTCTCCAGTACCTTTCTGGTGCAATTTCTTAGCCTAAAATTATTTCTACTCTACAAATGTTGAACAACTGAAGGGGAAACATCTTAAGGCTTGATTTCTGCCAATTCCACACCACTCCATTGGAGGTCTCCCTGAGAAGGAGGAATGCAGAGTCATCTTTAATCTTTAGTAGAGGTGCTCCCAAACAGTAAGAAGTATACTAGGAGGCATATGTTCAAACTAAAATTTAAATTTACAATAATAAATTACGATTGAATTTAAGAACAATCTAACCTAATTAGTAATAGGACTAAATTGATAAATTAATTTTAAATTTACACTAAAAACTGATTTACATGTACGTAATTAAACTAACCATCTAATTAGCAAACCCTTAAATAGTAAATTATTAAGAGAAAGTGAAGAAATAAGTGAATGATGAATTAGTAAATATATAGCTAAATAATCAAGGAAATAAAAAGTACATACTTTAAGTAAAATTATGCCAAATATCTAATAGTGGGTGGGCAAAATTTCTGATCTAAGAACATAGATGCTCTGCAATGGTAAAGTACATAGGGATAGTTTGTTCCATGATACTACAATAGAATTTGGAGAAAAAGAAAATTTGTAGACATTACAGTTGCATTGAATCTGGTGATAAGGAGTACAATTTGGGAACCAAGATGTCCTGTCCAGAGGGAAAACCTCAGGAGGAAGCTGGATCTTGTAGGCATTCCCTAAACTGAGGCCGACAAACTCAACCAGTTCAAAATTGGTTTTTTCTAAAGGAGTCTAGAGCTAAACGCAATGTGAGGATTGCAGTAAATCAGATATGTGAGCACTAGGGAACGGACCAATCAGAGAGCATGCCCAAGAGGGTCAATTTTGGCAAGCTGTGCAGCAATTTTTCATGCTAAAAGTGGTGCAATAAAAAAAAAAAGCTACACAAATTTGCAAAAATGTTGAAGCACTCATTAAAATGTGCATAAGAAAGAAAAAGTGTGGCAAAGGAAAACCCAAGAATCTAAGGATAAGTTTATTTAATCATTGGTATTCTAATCAATAAGTTTTTGGCTTGAGGTTTGCCAATTTTTTTGCACTGTTAACAGAATGCCACGTACTAGGATGTACAAACGTATGACGTTCTTCTATAATTCCTGTGAAGAAAACTTGCTCTGAAAGCTTGAAAGCACTATTGTACTGCCTCTTTGTGGTTTTCAAAGTTTCCACATTGCATCTGACCGCTGTTTTGTTTTCAAATCACTATACATTGGCACTATCTCTTTGGTACATTGTGTTCATGTCAAGTTGATTATTATAATTGTTTCTTTAGGGAGACCTTTATCTGATATAGAAATACGGTAACTCCACTGTCATAACAAATCATCACAAAAATATTCCAATAACTAAGTACTTGACATTTGAGTGTATAACCTGCCACATTTCTACATAACTTAGTTTCATTTTTGTCATACAAACTTGATAACAGGCCCATATCTCAATAATTAACAATTTATTCCTCGGCCATTCCTCACGAAATTCATTCTATCACCAACCCATTGATTCACAAGTACAGGATGGGTGCAAACCTTGTCAAAAAAGGTTTGGGCATAAGAAATTGCAATGGCTTGAGCACATCTTAGGCCACATGAATGGTTTTTTGATACACCATTTCCTCTACTTATGTGCCATACATGTGTAATGTAAACAGCCTATCTGACCAGAGGCAACACATTTCAGGGTGGCTAACCAAAAGTACAATCAACAGAATAATACATTTGCTTTGGAGGGTTAGGAGTTACACCTAAGACCCCTATAAGCTGCAATAACCCCTAACATCCACAAGTCAGTATGCATGTTGTCTCTCCTGTTCATTTCCTTTATTCTCAAAACCCTAGTGTTTGATTTAGCAGTAATACTATACAGAGAAATTGGATATTAATCACTCTCAGAGGTTAAAAGGTTTACATTTTTTGACACTGTTGTCTAAACGTCCTAAAGTATATTCCTTCCAATCTATTATTACATTTGACTTGTCTTTGAAGCCTGATTTCACTCATAAATAAATTATTAATACATAGAACAGCATCTCCATATCAAGCACGGTATCAAGTAAAATTATTTTCACCACAAATCACTGTCTAATCTCTAACTTTCCCACATAATTATATGCAAATGGTGCAAAGAGAAGAAAAGTTAAAAAACATATTATCAATATCAGCAACTTACACCTAGCATCTAGCTCAAAATTACCATTTTAACGAAAAATTATCATAAATTTTCTCACACAGAAAATCATTTACAGTCTAGGAAAATGGAAGAAAAAACTCAATTGAAGGTAAAATGCTCAGCAGATTAATTTCTGTGGATAAATATAATTCCCTTCTTGAGGTTTCTCTTAATCACTAAGAGAAGACATTATTCAGTTGCATAGTAACACGTATAAATGTGGTCCTTCTTGGAAGCTCTTTCAGCTTCTCGGCTCCAACATATGTGCACGTTGACCTCACACCACCGAGAATGTCTTTGACCGTGTCATGAACATTGCCACGGTAAGGAACCTCTACTGTCTTTCCTTCTGAGGATCTGCAAGGTAAGATAAGCAAAGCCATCTTGGTAAAACCAACCACTCACTCTGAATCAGAACAAATGGCTGGAAAAATTTCCTTTACACAAGCGCCTAGTAAAGGGCAAAACTAACAAACATGTTCTCTATGATACAATCAGTGGAGTATCAGAGGTTGTGAGGTTTAACCTCAAAACTCCATGCTTTGTTCGACAGAAGTGGCAGATGTTTGACAGTTTTCTTTATTCAATGACTACACTAAAAATTGACCAGCCTTGCTGGTCTATCCATACACTCAACATGTGCTACATTACTGATAAAAGCATTTCAAAGAACCCTTGCCATCTAGGAACCTAGTGAAAGGCCTAGCTAACCAAAATAGCTCAGATGGTCGTGGCCAACAAAAAAAAATCTGATGGTCAGAACAAGGTTCATATCCTCATGGCTTTTTCAAATTTTTTGTGTCCTACTCTCATGACAAATGCTTCAAAGCATCTTCCTTAAATATTTCCTACTATTAACAAATGGTAAACACCACAGCGTACACTATTGAGTTATGGATGGACAGGGAAGGTTGCTCAGCACAAAAGAAGCATAAGAGTCGCTTGAGGCGATAGCCAAGAGCGACTCTAGCTTCTTGAGTGCTTAGCAAACATCCCAAGTGCATCCATAACTCAATAGTGTACGCTGTGGTGTTTACCATTTGTTAATAGTAGGAAATATTTAAGGAAGATGCTTTGAAGCATTTGTCATGAGAGTAGGACACAAAAAAT